TTTAACCAGCTGTTGGAGATCTCGTCAAAATGGATATTGACGACAAACACATTGCCAATTGTATGTGTTTGCATTGGCCTCCCCAAGAGTCCGGACCTCAACACTGTCAAAGCAGTGTAGTATCAGTCAGTCAACATCCAAAGAAGAGCTTTGAATGTCCGTCCTGAAGACTTCTTAAAGAAACTACAAGGAAACTTGCCAAAGAGAGATCAGGCTGTGTTAAAGAATGATGTTGGACCTACCAATTATCCACTTTCAAGCTTATTAGAATTATAAATTCTGTTTTTGGCTTATATGCTTTATTTCCACGTATGTTTAATAAATCTCTGTTTCCATTTCCCATTTTTCTAGGAAATTGTAAATAAATGAAAAGTGACTCAAGATTTCTGCACAGCACTGCATCTTATGTTGCAATAAAAGCCTATCTAAGCATCAGGTCCTGGTTGTATGTGCTCTTTTGGTCAGTGGTCTCTCCACAGATGGCTGTCTAGGGCCCCTCTTTGCATTGTGTACTGTGACTGAGGGTCAACAAAGGAAACCCACCCCCAACTCTTATTGTTAGGGTCAAGCTAAAGACCCTGAGTTAATTCCTCAGAATGCACTTTGTCTCCAGTCACATTGCAGTCTACATTTTTTCCCACTGCAGACACGGTGACTTGTCCTGCTAGGAAAAGCACAAGTTTGCTTAACTGGGAAATACATTCACACACACACTAAAAACGGGGCAGGTGCCTGACTGAAACCAAGAACACAACAAAAGAAACACATTTAGGAAAAAACATGGAAAGATGCAGTTGTTTCTGGTTTTAATTCAGATCATTAAAAAAACGTTTCATTGTGCAATCGGGGTTTGTAATTCCAGTTTAAATTTCAGTCTGACAATAAAACCTGTTTTCTTGCTCATCAGTTCAGCATGGGACCGCCGGATAGGGACACAGGTGGCCATCAAGAAACTCCACCGGCCTTTCCAGACCAAACTTTTTGCCAAAAGGGCCTACAGAGAGCTGCGACTTCTCAAACACATGAAGCACGAAAACGTAAGACGCGGGAACAGCAAATAGGACTCACATTATAGCAGATGTTGAAGTTCATGCTTGAAGGAGAAGAGATGTGATTAAATATCATTCCAGTCGGATTTTAATTGAGCTTTTTTTCCCTCCTGGCTTATCAGGTCATTGGGCTGTTGGATGTTTTCACTCCTGAAATCTCACTCGACCGGTTTCGTGACTTGTAAGTTTCTCTCTGCTCTCCTTAACCACTCTTAAAGAATCAGACAGAGCTCATTTGAATTGATCCCATGCCTCTGCGCAGTTATCTGGTGATGCCGTTCATGGGCACCGACCTCGGCAAGCTGATGAAGCTGGAGAGGTTATCGGAGGACAGAGTGCAGTTCCTCGTCTATCAGATGCTGAAAGGACTCAAGGTGAATGAAACCCTCGTGAAAGTTCTTGAAACAACAGGAAAGTGTTTCAGTGAGCTGATCTGACGCCACCTCTCTCTGCTTTCTCCACAGTATATCCACTCAGCTGGGATCATTCACAGGGTAGGTGCCCTTTGACCTTTTAGACTATGAGCTTTGGGGGTGGCGGGGCTACTTTCTCTTTTTTATACTCGGTCCCATTCATCTCGATTCCCACACAGGGAGCTTTGTTATGTGAGTGTGTGCGTTTGTGTCTGATACGCTGACTGTTAGACAGTGCAATAAAAAGATCTATTTTCAAAAGCCTTTCCTTGATTTTTCCTGCCTCTCAGAGAACTGCTTATTAGAGCAGAAAACGTATCAATTACTGCTAAAAAATGTGTCCGTTTTTCACCCTTGCTAGCCCTGCTAAAGAAACAAGCCTTCCAATTCCAAATCCTTTGTCCTGCCTCCCTCCGTTCTCTTCTTCTCCCCTCACCACCAACTGCTCACGGCAGATGGCCGCCCCTCCCCTCCCCTGGCTCTGCCAGATGTTTCATCCTGTTAAAAGGGAGTTTTTTCTTCCCACTGTCACCAAGTGCTTTCTCACAGGGGATTGTGTAATTTAATCTAATAAATTTTAGGGTATTTATGCATACAATATAAAGCACTTTGAGGCAATGTCTGTTATTGTAACGTCAGTCTGGCGAAGAAAGAGCGGCTAGTTGGTCCAGCGGGTATGTGGTGTGTAGGTTAGCTGGATAACTCGAGGCCAGTCAGGTAAATCGAACAACAGACCTTATTTGATGTTAGCAACATAAGACCATACATGCCAGGTCTCCACGGCTCTCCTCTGTCCATACTTACATGTGCGGGGATGGGTAGTCGCCGGTGCCATCGCGTTACAATGATGAGGTCTCTCTCTGAACAGACTGCTCGGCTGTAATGGCTGCCGCTGCACTCACACACACTACTACTACAATAGCAGGACAACACCCCCTAGTGGTGCTGTATCACAATAATAAGGGTTGTTACATTATACATTTGTGGAATGTAAATAAAATTGAGTTGAATTCCTACTTTTAATGACTAATGTTAAACCTGAATCACATACTGTTTGTATCTCTTGGTCTCATTGGTCTTAACACTTCTTTTCACCACAGGATCTTAAACCTGGAAATTTAGCCATTAACCCAGACTGTGAGTTAAAGGTAATGCCGAATAACATGAAGATGTATCGATGGGAAGTCTCTAGACATAGTCACGTTCTGTGTTAAAGTTCAAATATTTCCTCCACTTCAGATTCTGGATTTTGGCCTGGCGAGGCAGGCTGATTCTGAAATGACCGGCTATGTGGTGACACGGTGGTACAGAGCACCAGAGGTTATCCTCAACTGGATGCACTATACGCAAACTGGTACAGCTATCTTTCTTATAGGGATGGGGGTAAAAATCAGGGGGATATATTTCTTTCTTAATCCAAAATTGCAGATAAAGATGCTTTGCTTTGGGTTGCAGTGGATATCTGGTCGGCAGGTTGCATAATGGCGGAGATGCTGCAGGGAAAGCCGCTGTTCAAAGGCAACGACCGTATCCTTCACCGTGTTAGTCTAGAATGTAACCACCGCCATCTTTTATATGCAGTCTATGTGTAAGACTAACCACCTGAATCCTTCACTTCATAGCAAAATTAAGACTTATTCCCCATTTTCCTATTTTTACTGTCTCTTCATGTTGATCCCATTGTACTTGCAAGCTGAAAAGAAAGCTCACAATTGAATATCGAAAATCAGTTAAACACACCCTTCTTAACCATATTTCACTGTTAGACCTGGACCAGCTGAGGGAAATCATGAAGATTACAGGAACCCCATCTCCTGACTTTATTGTGAAACTACAAAGTCAAGATGTAAGTAATAACCCGGGGTTACAGTTTCCTTTGAATATGAAACACTGGCTGTAAAGTTGAAAAAGGGGAGGGCTGTAAAAGATATGCAATTTGCTCTCTCAGACCTCAAAGGGAAAAGCAGCTGTGGTCAGTCTGGTGTCATAGTTGCTATAATGCATTCCAATACAAAGTTGGTCACAGCGTTTTCACAGTTCTCATCACAAAAAGATGCACAGAAGTTTATTAAAACCATTCCTTTTTTCTCACAGTATGTTTGAAACACATATTTTTCAGATTAAAAGCACAGGAGTAGCTGTGTTTAGGACTTTCTCGGCACTGGGAGTCGAGTGCAGTGCATCTTCCTTACCTATTTTCTTAGTTACTGTAATGCTCTATTTTTCGTACCATAAGGCACGCCGAATTATAAGGTGCATTAAGTGAAACAAAACAGTCAGATAAGTCAAACTTGACTCAACTCATTCTTCTCGCTTCTTCCACTTCTGTACCATTGATTCATTAATGTTGATTTCTCTTGCAGCTGCTCTATTCCCATGTTGTTGCAGTATATTAATGACTAACCTCGTATTGTGGATGGATTATCTCAGTTGTTCTGCTGACCTAAGTTTGGTCCGTTTACAGCCTCCTGCCATGCGATTGCATTTGTCCCTAACCATCGGGAACCCTCGTATAAACTTTTATCGAGTGGAAAAAAGTTAGCGTTCATCCTCCAGCTTCACTGTGTTTATGCTATGCTAACATAGCTGTGTTGCTAGTGATCACGTAGCACATCATTATATACCAGCTAGCCCAACTTGAGTAACCCTACAAACGTCACTGCTGTTTACTTTTCTGTCTTCATTTATGTTGGAAGTGATAGCAGAGCTGTACGTTTGAATTTTTTCAGAAATCTCTCAGTCAGATCATGCTACATCATGTTTAGGTGGAAGCTAGCGAGCTAATTTCCTGCTAACTTCTAACTCTGTTAAATGTAATAAATTCTGTTTTCAGGGATGCCTGGATGTTAAACTTTATTGTTACACCTGGTAAAGCAGCAACGCTGATCATTTTATTAAAGATGAAAGAATTTAGACAGTTTTTAACTCTCAGTGATGCCGCAGTGTTCGTTTGACTTTCGGACCTGAAGCGGAATTTTGGACCCAGATTACACAGAGTCCGCAAGGCTTCTGACTACGGTAGCCACAATCCTCTTCATAGCTTACCAAAGTCGTACTAAAACATTTTTGACAGATTTTTGAGTGCCGTGTACTACATAAAATTGGTTTAAGGTCAGTATCACATCCAGAATTCATGCATAAGGCGCACCAGATTATAAGGCGCACTGGTGATTTTTGAGAAAATTAAAGGATTTTAAGTGCGCCTTACAGTGTGGAAAATACGGTACATTTCGCCAAACTGGTGCATCCGTCTTATTCTTGTATTCTACACGAGTAGCACTCAGGTGACATTTGCATTGAGGTCACCTCTTATGCTCAATTCAATTTCCAAAAGTTTTAATCTTGGTTTGCATTAGAGATTTGGTGCAGCCCCCTCCTCCTTTTAAAGCAACTTTCTCATGATTGGCTGCCCCTCACAAATAGAAGGTTTGAGCATGAAGTGGGTGGGGCTTGTTGAAATGACAATAGTAGACATATGTGCTGTCACTGGTTTAATATTTCAAAGTATCAACCTTCTTCCTCTCCCTCTGCGAACAGGCCAGAAACTACATCAGAAGCTTACCAAAAGTGCCAAAAAAGGATTTGCACTCAATTTTCTCCAAAGCTAGCTCAAATGGTATGTGATCATACACCATCCATAAATTACACTAAGCTACTATCATCCAGAATATGACATGTCTCTGCATTACAGCTGTATGTGTCTTGGAAAAGATGCTGCTTCTGGACCCTGACCAGAGGCTGAGCGCCTCTGAGGCGCTCGACCTCCCTTTCTTCAGTGAGTTCAGAGATACGGAGGAGGAGACCGAGGCGCTGCCATACGATCAGACCCTAGACAACACAGAACTGCCGCTGGACCTGTGGAAACGTAATAAAAAAAATACTGGAGTTGTTCAAAAATATTCTGAAAGAAATATGACAGAAGTCTGTTGAATCCAGAATCGAATGTAAAATCACGTTATCTTAGCTTAAAAGACCTCATAAAACCGTATCTCCTCTACATCACACTATCAGATTGCTGGCTTACTTGTGGTTCTGAGGGTATTTAAAAGTAGAATGGGAGGTACAGCTGTCACGACAGATGGCCCCGCCCCTCCCTGAAGCTGGTTCTGCCAGAGGTTTCTTCCTGTTAAAAGGGAGTTTTTCTTTCCCACTGTCACCAAGTGCCTGCTCACAGGGCTCACCTGATTGTTGGGGTTTTCTCTGTATATTTGTAGGGTCTTTACAACATAAAGCGCCTTGAGATGACTGTTGTTGTGATTTTACATTATATAAAATAAAATTCAATTGAAATTAATCAAGTTGCAAAAAACCTATTACTCAGCTGTTAATGTTTTGGCACAGACCTTTACTGTTTTGGTCCTTTCCCCCCCAATTCTCCTTTTTTGTTCTAATCTGCAGCCAGCAGTTGTTTTTCAGGTTAAAAAAACAAATCTAAGAAAGCCTCTAATACTTCCTGGTTAACACCAAACAACCAAACAAAGTGGGGCATTTAACTGCTGAAGAACCAGATTTTTCCTTTACATAACCCCAAACATACAGTAAAGATGTATAGATAATAGGTAAAAATTGACAATGTGAATGACAGTAAAATAAAATTTAAAAAAAATTAATTCCATGAAGTTGCAGTACCTTCCCTCAGCCAAAAGAGGTCAGTGTACGCTAATCTTACTTGATGCAGATTTCAAATTGAATAATACACAGAAGCTGCTTTGATTTGTAACATAATCAACAAGGGGGGCTGTGTCTTAGTTGTTGAACTTGAGTTTAGCATTGCTGTTAATAAC